TAGAGTCCTGGCAGCTTGTAGGCCAGAAGCCCCAGCACCCAAAATCAGGACTCTTGCTCTAGTGTCGCCGTGGTCGATGGTCATCGCATCCGTGAAAAGACGAAACAGACTAAGTATGAGGACAATGCCAACACGGGAAAACATGATGAGACCTTAGGTGTTTTAACCCAAAAGACACAAGGGAAAAAACGTCTGCTCTCTCTAGGTAAATGAAATAAGCCGAGTCTTCACTGCGAACTGAAGGCTTTGCTTCACGTCGTCGCTATTGCTAAAGTAGAAAAATGCTCGCTAGTGACTGATCCGAGATCAGTGCGAACTGCCGACTTCGCTTTCAACCGTAGCAGTTACCAATATGATCTGTGAAATAAGGAGTGGTGTTTTGTCATGCCAAGTTTTCTGCAGCTTGGCTTGACATTGTACGTCCTTGGCTATTGTTAAACTTAACCGTGGTGTATTTTTATACTTCAGTAATTACCGGCACGTTGTTTGTTGTAGGTCCTTCTGCGATGGGTGGGCATTGATCCGCTACAAAACTCGGGTCAGTCCAAGGGACATATCGTTCTGACCTTCATACATCCAAAGGCTTTGTACAGACCCATGAAACCGTAAAACCAACCAGACGAGGTTGAGGTCAGTAGGGAGAGAGCTTGTGGTTCCCGGATGTTAGTGACGAGAAATTTAGAAGCTTACAAACTCCCCTAAAAAGCATAATTCCTATTGGGTTTGTATTTGCGGTCAAGGCCATGTCAAATGGCTTGAACAGTGGCGACAAATCGAAATCCGAGTCCCAAAGGCCAAAAAATCCTGGATCCGCCCCTACTATCCTGTCTACATCGTCGCTTCTACACTTTTTAAATTCAATTCATCACAAAAATAAACTCTACAAACAATATCTAAAAAAATCCATCTAATAACAATTGTAACAAATAGAGACATTTCGCAACAAATTTAATCATATTATTAAGATTATTAAATCAAAGTTTTATCAAGACAAATTTGAAAAAGCAAAAAGTAATGCTAGAAGAACATAGGGCATAATTAACTCATTATTGAATAAAAACAACCAGAAGAAATAACCTTCGGGGTTCAATTTAGATGGAAACCTTTCAAATGAGCCTCGGGAAATTTCAAATGCATTTAATGTCATGTCTTCTTCACGTAAATAGGTCCTTCTCTCAGCCGAAATATTCCACAAGCTAAAGTCAGTTATGAGAACTACTTGACTGACTCTAAGGTAAATTTTATCTTTTTTAACCCAATAATCAAAACAGAGATTCAGGAAATAGGCTTAAAATCTCAAAGCAACAAATCTCCGGGCTTGGATGGAGTCAAACCAGGGCTACTAAAATCCGTCATAACTAGCATAAGCGATCCATTAAGTTACATTTTTAACTTATCTCTATCCAAGGGAATTGTTCCATATTGATTAAAAATTGCTAAAGGTACCCCTATATTTTAAAAAGACGACCCTACTGAGCTTGGTAATTATAGACCAATTTCTGTACTATCCTGCTTTTCCAACATTTTTGAAAAACTTGTTTAAATTAGGACAGTGAAATTTCTAGACAAATATAACCTTATTTCTGATCATCAATATGGTTTTCGACCAGGTTTCTCCACTTCAATCGCACTTATTGACTTTAACTGCAGACAAAGTTGTCAAAACCTTTGAGGAGAACGCTTTTTTCAATTGGAATTTTCTTAGATTTATCAAAAGCATTCGATGCTATCAATCACGGAATACTTTTTAAAAAANGTTTTTCGACCGGTGTCGCATTGTTCAGCCGGCGACGCATTTTTTAACCGGCGTCGCATTTTTGACGGGCGTCGCATTTTTCATTACTTCATCGGAAAGACCTATGGAGGCCAGGATCTCGTCCATCACCGGTACCGCCAGCTTATTATAAAACACTCGAAAACTAGTCTAATAAAGAATGAAGTTATCTGTTGTGGAGATTCTCACACTTACGGCAACATTTGTCACAGAAAAAAAGGAAATTAGACAGAAACGCATGTACATGTACGTGTAACCTCAGGGTCGATCAAGAAGCAGCAGCTACGACGAAACAGCCTTTTCAAACAGTGACACTTTTCAAACCAAAATTCACACGCAGTCCTCAAGACCTTGGGAAGTCATTTCTTTGAGTAATAAACACAAGCCCCCCCCGAAAGATAAATGATTTCAAGCCCATGACCAGACGGCCTCCACCGGGGAATGCCTGAACCACGGACCATTGCCTGAACAACTTCCAATGTGTGAAATACCTTTCTACCACTGTAATGAAAAAAATAAGATCAGTCTTGGCTTCCTCTGGACAGATTTTAATGGTTCAAAAAGTGTTTTCGGAAAACTTTTCGTGATTTTGTAATGCTGACAACTTCTCTTAATCAAGAAAGAGTAAAATTTCTCAAAGTTATGGTGCGTGACATTTCTTCGCCAAGAGTAGTTACATTTTAAATTATAGAACGTACTACAATAAACGCTCCCTCGGGAAGCATGTCTGCAAGATGGCAAATGCCATACCAACCAGAGTGAACAATGGGCCTACTATACTGGGTTTGATTTTTGTGGCAACTAGTAATCATCAGTACGGGAACATTTTTCACTCAAAAAGCTTGCAAAAGTGAGAAACCAAAATGAGCGAGGTGAACGTCCACAAGTAATCGGGTTCATTAAAGGGCTGTTAATTTATTTACATACAGTTAATCGACGCATACCTGCTAATTTAGCCGTTTCCATAATCATTAAAAATATGTACGCACACTTTTAGCATCCATGTCAACAACGTCAGGTCCGGCTGGACCAAGGTTGACCATTGGTGATTAATGACTTATTCACATTGAAAGGCGACGCAAGTTGAAAAATGCGACGCCCGTTGAAAAATGTGACGCCGGTTGAAAAATGCGACGCCGGTTGAAAAATACGACGCCCGTCGAAAAATGCGACGCCGGATGGCACATATGGAACACCATACCTGAGGCCTCTCAAACAAAACACAAACACATAATTAACATCTCCCCAACGCAAAAATACATCTTGAAGATAACCATCCCAAATCTATCAAATCCAC